ATTATGAGATCAGTGAGGATGACCACCCACCGAAACACGCACAGTGACCCACGCCCGCGATATTTGATGAACTTTAGACTTCGCTAATGCTTCCCTTTCCCGGGTGTAAATAGCCGGGGGGAATTAGTACCCTCGCACGGCGCGAAGCGCCGTCGGCTCGGGGACAATATGTTAGAGTCAAGAGCAATTTATGTTCGAATTCCTAATGATCATTTTGATACACATGCACGTGTGGGATATATGACACCACATTTAAATTCCTTTTAATTCACTGAACAATTTAATTAACAAAAAAATACAAATTGGCAAACTATGCCCTCTTAAATCCCATATACACACCATCATTGGCAGGGCATATATGTCTTATTGCCAGGACAACGCATGAAGGGAAAACATTCCTATTTCCTCTTCCTAACTTTTTGTACCGCCAGAGAATGTACTGGCGGTAGGCAGCCTTTCTAAAACTATTATTTGTTGAATAGTCTGGCTCCTCTGCCCTAATGTCACATCTAGCCCTAATAACCATAACCAAAACATCTCGGTCTGTACATGTATTTTGAAATGTCGTGAATGATGTGACACACCGTATTTTCTTGCAAGACCTATTTTCCTCCTCGGTTGGCATTGGTTGGCAAACTCCAGATGTGCACCATGGCGGCTTTGTTTGAGGAGGATCTGAAGGATGACCACCAAATTCTACAAGGTTGTTGGCATAGTCAAGGCTGCCTTTCCCATTTGACAAAACCTCAAGGAGTACTTTGTCTTTTTGCTCCACTGTTAGACCTCCAATAAATTTCTAGAAACAAGAAACTCTTATGACAAACTGTATTATGTATTTTTAACAATCAGCATATATTTCTGGATATTCTTGAAAGAGTCGTAACACATGTACGAACAGCTGTAGATATTGTAATATATAATTATAACAGCTTTAGATACTATTTGCAGTTATATTACAGTGGGCAATGAATAAACAATGACCTAAAAAATTACTCCACAAGATACAATATTGCACAAACCATTTGCAAATTCAGAAATTCGAAATAAAAACACCTACTGTAATTTGCATTCTAGCTTCCTCCACTGCGATCTGGTGACGTTCAACCATACCAGCACTCGAGGCAGCTGCTGTTCCTTGTTTATTATTGCACGCTGCCTTCTTTGTTCCACATGTGCAGCCATCGACGCATTTCAATTCCTCATCTCGGCAAGGACAACCTCGCTTTTTTCTGACGCTGCGTTCACTGCATGTATTCTTGCAGTTACAAAACTAAAACGAAACGAATTTCACTATATAAATATACAGAATGTATAATAAAAAACGACAAATCTATTAAAATATTATTTACCTGTGTTCTAGCATGAGTCGCATGACTCGCTGCTGGCAAAGAAGGTTGCGTATCGGATGCTACTTGCGTCGAGTATACGGGAGAACCATAGACATTAAAATCGTCTTCAATGTCGTATTGCGATACATTTCCATCCTCATCAGAGTGTGATGAGGACATATCAAAAACGTTCTACAATTTCTCGCAAAAAACGACAATTTTCCAATCAACTTGAACGCAAACGATGCTATATTATGCGAATTATAAAAATTTGAGAACGTGAACTGTGACGTCAACTATGACGTGCCTCCAGGAAACATAAACATTGAGCGCGCAATGCCTTACTATGAGACTCATTCTTAAAGCAGGGCGACCGGGGGTGTGGGGGTGTAACACCCCCCTGATGATTGCTAATATGAGCAATTTCAGGTAAATTCAGGTAGATTTGCAGAAGAAATTCAGGTAAATCAACGCAAATTCAGGTAATTCGTAGGACCAGAGAAAGTTAATTTACAAAAATAACCGTCAATTTGGAAAAAAAAGGTATATGTTCAAAAATATTAGAAAATCCAAGAACTTTTCAAAATTTTAGAAAAATTTCTTTAATAAACGGAGAAAATTGGTGATATTCGAAAAAATTTTTATGTCGCGAAATATTTGGATATGCCAGTAGTATAGTAGGTGGTTTTCGACCCGGATTTTGCGGTGGTGGTGGAGTGTGGTGGTGGTGGTGGTGGTGGCGTAGGGCGGCGCATTATTATATATGCAAGTAATTACTATGCAAGGGGCGGCGTATGCAAGTAATTAAGAGGGGCCGCACAAATGAGGGTGCGTAGTGACGTCAAACGGACAGGATCAGGTAAGTAATGACGTCACGCGGGCCTGTTCGGGCGAAATTGAACAAAATTTGCTGACTACGCATTTTTTAGCGTCCCTCCACGTTTATGATACAATGGAGGGATTAATGTTGGCTTACTATGAACTTTTATACAAGTATCTGTATAAAATCGACAAGCGTCTTGTAATAGGCATAGTTCTGCATTTGTTCCACATCAGTCATGGCGTGTCTACACGGCAAAACCACATCTTACAATTTATTGGAAGGAATTTTTGCGAATGCAGTCGCACAAGAAGTTGAAAGACTTTGTGTGGAATCCTGTAATGGTTGTCAAGTCGGTCATCCTTTCAAAGACAACATGACTGCCTCATGATGAACGAAAACGAACGATGGCAATTGTATGGTTTACAAACAATCGAACGCGTGAATGGTAAGCGTATGGTTTGGAACGAATTCGCTGAGGCAATGAGGGTACTAAAACTGGCGGTTGACAGAGATGTACTCGAACATTTACAGCAACTGGAAAAAGATCCAGATTCTAAGTCTGTCGATTCATTGATGGAACTACATCAGAACACTGAGAACCACGAACTACAATGTATACTGAACTATTTGTTTCATTGGAGATTAGAAGACCCACTCGAGTCCGTAGCTGAAGCGTTTTTCTCTTACCCACCGAGTTACATGTATTATGTGAAGGCAACGGGTAAACGATTTAGAAGTTTTGAGGCAGATCATAAGAAAGCTTATCAAGAACTCATGGAGAAAAAACTTATAGAACAGTTTAACAAATAGTTTTAGTTGTAATATTTTTGACACTATCATCTGTTATTTGTATCAATAAACATGTTTTAAGCTTTGCAAATTTGTGTTGTTTATGCGTTGCTAAGTCATTAGGAG